ATAAATTATATAAGATATTTATAATTTACTGATGACTGAGTATTTAGAATATAAAATTATATACAGTATTATTATCTGAAGATTCTACTGACTGAATATATTGAAAAATATATACTGATTTATATACAATTGCAACTGCTGTGACTCAGTAACAGTATAATATAAATACTGAAAAGAAATACTAAAATCTCTATCTGTTTTTAAATAAATTTGATATAATATAGCTATTAACTTTGTAGTTTTTTTATCTGAAAACAGTGATTCTATAAATGTTCTAGTTATTATTGATTATTTCAGTAAAAGTGTAATACTTCAGCTCTGTGATAAAATAAATACTGAAGTCATTACAAATGTCTTTATCAGAAGCTCATTCTATTATATATATAGTCTATCTTTATTTATTGTATCAGATAGAGACAGTCAGTTTGTAAGTATACTTTAAACTCATGTATATCAGCTACTGAGAATCAAATAAAAGTTGTCAATAGTATATTATTCAGAGACTGATGAAGTCACTGAGAGAATGATACAGATAGTTAAGAATACTCTCTGAAAATTCTATAATTATATACAAAATAACTGAAGTGATCTGCTGCTGTATGCTGAGATTACTATAAATAGTCAAGATTCTACTACAACAGATATAAGTCTGTTCTTTCTTCTATATAATTATTTAGAAATTCTGAACTTCTCTGAAATTCTCTGAAAGACTATATATATCTGTAGTTCTGTGTAAGCAGTAGAGAATATAATCAGTAAGTTTAAAAAAGTCTGTGAATAAGCTGAAGCTTTGATAGCTAGTGCTCAACAGAACTATAAAGATCAAATGAATATTAAAAAAAATCCTATAATCTGATACAATATAGAAGACAAGATTTGACTAGATCTCAGAAATATAAAAATAAATCATTTCTTATATATACTGAACTACTATCATATCAAATATACAGTAATAGAAGTGTTAGATATTTATAACTATTGACTGAACACTCTATCTGATATTTATAATATTTTTCATATGAATCTGTTTCAATCTGTAGCTGAGAATCTGTTTTTCTTACAAAAAACTTCTAACTGACAATCATCTGTCATTGTAGAAGAAGACAATGAACTTGAATAAGAAATTGAAACAATTCTCAGTAACAGAATCAATTATCATTACTGTGAATATTTTATTAAATGAATAGAATATAATTGTTTAATCTGAGAATCTGTGTCTATTATGAAGAATACTGCTGTATTTGATATCTATAAATTCTTGCTTATTTCAGTAGAGAAAGATAATATAATGAATTAGTATCTATTGATAGTTAATTTATGCAATCAATCCTCTACTGCACACTCACATACTTATATATACTTATAAAGTTCTTTCATATCTTTTTGTAATTCTGTCTTATAATTATATATATCTTAATACTCTAATGATTCTTCTGCTCTGTGCTTCTTCAGAGTATGATTTCTGATATTTCTTCTACTTTGATTTTCTTATCTATAAAAATTCTTTTGTATAACTTCTTCTTCTGATCTTCTTTCTCTTTCTTTTTTTAATTGATTTATAAACTGTTATTAGAATAGTGTCAAGTTTGTTGATAGTGCTATTGAAATGGATTGTATGAACTGCACAGACAGTATGAATGATTTAATCTGCAACATTGATAACTTCTGCTTAGATGACACATCTGTTACAAATCTTCAGTCTCAGTATCAGTTTAACAGCTTATTACAGACACTATTTTATCACTTTTACTTTGTCTTTCAGCTCAGCTACTTGTTCACTATATAAATTCTACTGATTATAAATAAAATCTTTGATTTATATACAGAGACTGCTGTTGAAGAGACTACTCATTTAATCAGATAATCTATTTTCTCATTATTTTTAATTTTTATATATTCTGAGAATTACTTCAGATTCACTCTATACTGTCTGAGAAGTTTATAACAGTAATCAAAAACTCAATCTGAAAAGACTACTGTATTTCTGTGTATATTTTAGATAACTAAGATATTATTCAGACAGAGTCAGATTCAGAGAATATTATTATTATCTGCAGTATAAAATAAAAGTTTTACAGTATATTTCAGTTCTTGATAGATACTGACTGTCTCAGTATCAAAGATATATATTATTGAGCTCAGTACTACAAAGAAGTTGATCAATTATTTATTTCTCTAATAGATTATAAAGTTATATTTCATCTATTTATAATTATTATAACTCTATTCTGATTTATCTGAGAAGATAAAGAGATTTATTTTAGACTGATTTTTTTATTAATTTTTGAATATTTGAACAGTACTTTTTTTATCAATATCTTCTATAAAATCTATCTCATATTTCTCTGAGTAGTACAGAGTGAAGAGTGTGAGTCTATTGACTGCAGAAAATAATATCTTCAGATATTAAATCTTAATCTTCAGATACTGCTGAGAGCTGACTTTTTTTCTCTGTATAATTATAAATAATATAATCTGTGAAATTAGTGAATGCTTTTTATTTACTGTCTGAAGTTTTATTGTAAAGTATATCTTAATCTTCTTCAGAGTTATTATTACTGATAAAAATTCAGTATTCTGATAGAGAGTAGTAGTAAATATTATATAAAAAACTGAGAGAATTTTTCTAACTGCTATAATAAGTATTTTCTTTATCATCTTCATATATCAATTCAGATAAGAGCTAATCTTTTTATTTCTATCTATATATTTTATCAGCTGTATATAACTGCTGTATCAGATCTCTGTATTATAGAGTATAAAGAAAATTATATAGATGATAACTGTCTTCTACAGAGTATCTGTTGAAAGTTTATCTCTGATTTTTCTCAGACTCTGAATATACTGAGCTATAGTTTTTATCTTTTTTACTCAGATAGAAATATATAATCTTTAGATAAATCTTCTATTAAAGTATATATTCAGTTAATAGAGTACTAACTTTTACTCAGCTGAGACAGTTACAGAGTATATAATAAAATTCTTTAATACAACTACTACTGATATTTTATTATATTACTTTCTTATCAGATGAATTATTTTGAGCTTTTCTGATATGAAAATTATTTTATTTATTTCTTCTCATCTCAGAATATTCTGAATATTCTAACTAAGAAGAATGATATTATTATTCAGTAAATAAAATACTCTTCAGATGTTCAGATTATCTATATAATTAAAATACAATTCTGAGTTCTATTACAGCAGCTCTGTCAGATATAGAAGAAACAGTATTAAAAATAGAGAAGATTTTTATAATATACTATACTATATTTAATATACTATTGTGATAATCTCTTTCAGATAGATCTGAGTTTTATATTTTATAAAAAAACTATTAATAAACTATAGCAGCTTTTATAATTATCTCTGTTATATTATTCATTGAAAAAACTGTCTATACAGTAGAGTATCAAAGATTTCTTGTATATTCATTATAACTATAAATATCTTCTCATTTTATATGAAGACTGTCTTTATTTTATAAATAAAGAAAGTTATCAGATTTATTGCAGAGTATCTGAGTAGCATCTCTTTATACTATAAACTGATTATATTATAAATAAATACTGTGAAAGTCAGTTTTTTTATAATAATATATTTCAGTCTTTTGATTATTATTATTATTATTCTTCATTTATAGATGTATGCAGTCAGTGACTATAACATCTATCTGAAATATTTCAGAATTTTTCAAATCAAGAATTTTCTAATATACAAAAGCAATTTGATACATGCAGTAACAGAATTTCAGCTCAGAATCAAACAACTAATTAAAATATTCAATCAGAAAGATTAATATTAAAAACTGACAATTAGTCAATTCAGATCAACTCAATATATATAAAAGAAAAATAGTAACTATTACAAAGGAAATTTAAAGAGTGTTTTAACAACTGTAAAATCAATACTTAACAAATAGAACCTTTTTGAAATAAATCAACAATAAAATCAACAATAAAATAGCTGAAAATAAAATAAATATCAAAACAAAAAACAACAACAATTTCTACAGAACAAACCTCTGCAGTTTACATCTTGAGCTATATATATATTTTAACACTCTATATAACCAGCCACTGCCTTTGTCCTCTTGAGCTATTATTAGAGGTTATCATTCTCTCTAGAGTGCCACTGCCCATTCAGGTTCTTTAACTAGTCTATCTAAGTGGGATTCTCACTAAGAATAACATCAGAGCTACTCAGTTCTAGTTAAACCCCTCAATCTTTCAGCTGTCAATCTCAGCATTCCAGCCTACCAATTGGCTGTCATGGTCTTGCTTGCACTAACCATCTATTAAGGGCGTCTAGGCCTCATCTCACCTAGGTCCTTGCTAGGCCCGGGGTGCTCTAATTGGGTAGTTTTTAAATCATTCCTCAGAATTTAGGGGTGCCTAGATAGTAGTGGGTGAAGTGGTGGTGAACCCCTGGCTAGTTAAGCTTGACAATGATTTGCTATCCTGCAGGTGTCTCCACCCCCACAACACCTTACCTATCCAGTACTGATCTAACTTGATGCGCTTGGGGGGTTCTAGCCCTACAAGATCAGTGAGAATTTAGCGCCCGGTTATAGCTGGTGTCTTAAAAGGGGCTGGTTACACCTGGTACTGTTTGGTGATTTAACAGTGGAAATTGGTTAAAATGAGCCCTGCAGGATTCGAACCCGCGCCCCTTCTGGGGCACCAAGTGGATAGTTAACCGCTACGCCACCGGGCCTCCGAAAGATATATATAGATATATAAGAATAATATATATAATAAATATAAATGAGTTTGAGTTGTTTGTGTACTCATGATGAAAGTGTGGCGTCGAATGGTTTGCAAATTTGACCATTGTGTGAGGGATTGCAATTACAATTTATTTTGAATTGTAATGCTACAAGCCCTGCAATTAAAGAGCGCGTGATCTACTTGACACCAGCTTTGCTGCTTCTCTACAGACTGATAATAAACTGTGGATTCAAAGTGTCTCTTTCATCCAGAAAGCCATTCATTTAATTTCATTTTCAAAAGATTTACAAAACTACATCTTCTCTTGCTATCTTGCTAGATGAGGGTCTTCATTTCCTTCCCTAGCCATTGTTCGTACTTGGCCACCCGCCACCTAGAACTTACAATCCACAGCCAGGTAGTAGGTTGACGGGGTTGAGCCCGGCACTGGTACTAAACAAGTTTTCTTGTCATCTAGACCTCTGGCCTTGCAAGGAGAGTGTTTGGACCCATCGCATTTCAGAATGCCAGCCCCATTTGAGTCTTCTGTGTATTTGCACATATGCCCCGGCCCGACGGTAAATTCCATTGACGGAGGGTAATGAGGTCTATTCTCTGGGTCTGAGGACGCGTCTACAAGTTTAAGAGGCGTGTCATTGCACACATCTGCCTCTCTATCGAGTTCTGAAACGAACACTTTCCAGAAGCGGGTCAACACGTCACCCCCAGGGTACGAGCGGTAGGTTTCGTCCAAGGCAAAGAGCAAGCTACCAATACGGGGCCCTGGAGGTTTCCCGCTTCCGTCACCTCCGCCGCCACCAGTCCATGACCATTGACATGTTTCAGTCTTGCAACAGGCTGGTGAGCTGGGGGAGCAGCTGTTGTCCCCACAGTCACACATTGGACAACTGGCATTGCCACAGCAGCCAGGCGATTCAGAGTCACAACCGTTTTCATTGCACTTGCATGGATTGCCCTTGTCCAGCTTGCATTTGTCATTGCATGTGGGTTTCCGGGTCACCGGGCCCGGTGGTTGTTGGTACTCGACTGCTTGCATTTGGGTCCTTTGGGTCGTGGCGATCTGGGGGCACTCCTGTTGGCATTGGTGAACAGAAAAAGCCTGTGCATAAGTGGCCGCCACAGCCGGTTCCGGATGCACATGTGGGAGTTGGCTTCACTCCAGCTTTACTGGTGAAGCTAACAGTATGGCTGCCGGCGCCGGGCATGCGCGGGCAATAAGAACCGTCGAGCTGCTTGAGCGGGTTACCAGTTCCGGGTTGACAAGGCTCCAAGGTTTCTCCCTCATTTGTTTCCTCCGCAAGGTTTGCTTTGATTCTTGGGCACCTTTTTGACAGGTCCCATTCGTCAATTGTATCATAGTCAGCTAGACAGGAACGTGTACTCATCTGCCCATTCCAGATGATAGGTTTCGCCCCTACCCATTCAAATTGTTTGCCGTCGACTTCAATGCGACGATGAAAAATCTTGATCATTTTCTTCACGTTGGCAGGATCCCTCAATTGGTCTTTCCAGGGTGACTGAATCGATTTATAATATCCGATTAAACTAGATACGAGAGCGGTAGCTAGGGTTTAAACAGACTGTAAGTTACTACTTTTGCTCGGTGGGGGTTTCTCAATCTTGAACTTTAGTGTAAACCTACATAAGGAGGTTCCGTACAAGCGGTTGTAGCCGCCTGTAGGCGTTTCCGGAAGCCATGAATTCTCTCCAGGGGCAAAAGTAGTTATCCAGGGCTCGTACTGACTGAATAATCCCTGATTGCCGTCTGGATCTGTCGCCCCAACGACAATAATATTTTTTATGTAAAATGTATTGCTAGGATCGGCGAAGAGAGCAGGGTACTGGATGATACCCGAAACAGTCACTGCATTATTGCCAGCCGCGCAAACCATAGAAACACCCCAAGTATCGAGAGTCGCGAGTAGTTCATCTACGTAGCACACCCACCAGTAAGACAATAGTTAGCAAGAGTGGAAAAAGCGGTACCCAGCTCCTCATCTTGATGACCTCAGAATTGGAGAGTAGATTGAGGCAATGTAGAACTGTAAGGGAACTAATATAGCCTACAAAATCTTCTCACAGACGCATGTCTCATACGTGAGTCGAGGCCGAAGCTCATGTTAATGGTTGCTTTGTGCTGGAAACCGTTACGCGACACATGGTTCTGAATGACCATCAACTGCTCGATTAATCGTTCAACCCACAACTCATCATTTAGAAATATAGGTGACACATGGAGTTTGCAATTGTCGCAAAGGCCCAAATTGGCCCCAACAATCTTGGAACCTACCTGAGCCCCGTGAAGGTAATTAGGCCTAAGGATTATCTCGGGAGCCCACGGCTGGCTCTCTCTATCTGGCGTCAAAACTTCAATGTCCATACCTCTAAATTCCTACAAGAATTGAACCTCAGTCAGTTTTTCATTGGAAAGTGTATTTAACGTTCAGACACTCAATATTGCACTGAATGGACTTAACAGGTGTCATCTCACAGGGTGATTGGGGTAGAAGCCGTCCTCCAGCATATATATATGTTGGCCTCTTCCTGAAGTTTCATCAAAGTTGAACTTAAAAAAGCCATTTCCATCTACAGTAGAGCCGTCCGGTAAGTTCCAAACCGCATTTTTCGGAGTGGAGATCTGGGAGAGGTCCCAAATATACGGGTTCGATCGTGTCTTTGAAGTTGACTGTGCGGATTGATTTGTGTTATGCTCATCCAGAACTGCTCTATTGCTGGTCGAATGATTGATATTCCCCTGTTTATAAGGAAATATAGGTTCAGAGGGGTTATTATCACGTTTTGTTCTGCGGTCTGAGTCAGAGCCTCTCTGGTTTGTATTAGCATACCAGCTTTCGTAGTAATAAGCGTCTGCAACATCGGGCTATGTAACTAAAATCAGCCATCACTCTCATGTGCTTCAACTCTGACATGTATTCAGTCCTTACAGATTTTAACAAGGCGTTCATGGTCTCTTGATCCAACAAAGGAACCCAGATGAATGCTACCTGCTGAAGCTCATTTGATTTGACCTCAACATATTTTCCCTTGTATTTATCAAGGATCTGAGGAATTTGCCCCGCATCTTTCATATTTGATGGATAAACAATGGCATTTGCAGGGCAGCCTGGGGGTGGTATGACAGATGCAGTGCCCTTCACTGGATTGGTTGTGGGTGATGGACAGTGATCTGGTTTGGTTTGTGTGGTTGTTGTATCCCAATCTGATGCTGAACACCCACGAATTGTATCACATGTTGAACTGATGGATGAGGCTGTGGAGGTAATTGTTCCATGAGTGGTTGTAGTCTTAAATACAGTTGTCATGCATATTTCTGCAGATTTTTTCTCGCATTTAGTAGGTTCCTCCTTGGGGTATGTTAAAATATTATCTCGCCCAACACTAAGTGCACGTCAGTTTATGGTGTATCTCTATGATTTTCGAAGATTGAGCTGAACAGAGATCTTACGTGATTGGAGGCCAAGGTGGGAGAGGAGGTTTTATCGTCCATGATGGGGGAGGATCTATTGCGCCCGGGGGTGGTGGGCCTCTATGTTTGAGGATAAATTATGTTAATGTACCACTCTTGACAATTGAAGGTATATTGAAACAAGCTACTCACGGTGGGTATATACCCGGTGGGAGATTCCAGCGTAAGCCTTTGTTCTCCCCATTTAGACAGAACTGCATCCAGTCAATCAAGAGGCTCAAGGAGAAACTATAACTTTTCACCTCTAAGACTTACAGAGAAAAACCAGAGTTTGCATGATGTTTTACCTGGCTCTGGCTTTTTGACCTCTTCTTCAATTGGTGTGACCACTCGAGGTGGCCATGTTGACCATACTGGAAGTGACTGGGTAGTTGTCTGTTGCAATGTATGGTCAGCACCACAATGATCTCTTTCAAAGATCTATAGATATATTGAAAATACTCACTGGTTTATTTGTGGGCTCTGAAGTGATTGTTTGATCTGGCTTGGTGAATATTGTTGAGACAGTGCAGTCAACTGTGAAAACACCAGTAGAGGAACCAATAAATGTAACAACTTTTGTTGCAGGACAAGTGAAACCAACAGATACTGTTGTGGGAACTATACAGTTGATTATAGGTGTTGTTTTTGGAGTATTGAAAGGGACTCTTGAGTTGGGTGGACATTTCACCACAATTGGACTGACAGTTGATGGAAATGAAAGTGTTGAAACAGTGGGTTTAGTGGCAACAACACTGGTCACAAAAGGAGTGTGGTAAACTCCTTCCTTTATACCATCTGTAGAGGATGCATCAGGATTGCTCCAGCTCTCTGGTGGTCCTCTGGTAATAGCTGGCCATGGTGGAACTGTGATATTGCGAGTGGTTGTCTTCCCTTCTCCATCTGAGATTGGTACAGGAATGGGTGGAATATCAACACTAGGCAGTACAGTGAGAGAAGTACTTGTCTGTCCTTCAGTGATATTGATATTTGAGTAGGGCATTCCATCTGTGGTGATTGGGTCTATAGTCAATGTGATTGTAGTGACAGTTGTATAGAATGTGGGCACTTCACGTCCACTGATGGTTGTTGTGCTGCGGTGCCCATACTCAACAGTGGTTGTATATTTACCTGGGTCAATTGTTGTTTTTGAAGAGAGCAAGCTTGTAGGAAACACAAGAATGCAATCAGCTGGGCATGTAAGTGATGGCTTATTATAGACTTCAGGCCCAACATAAACAATATCATATTCATCATCTCCTTCCAAAGGAATCCAAACACTAATCTCGGTTGTAAATCCACTGTGATTGAAGGTTCATCATTAGTGGGTAAACTCAGCAGAGAAAGAACTATGACACAATCAAACAAACCTTTGATTTGAATCATTCTGAAAAATGGCACCATGACTAAGATTAAAATGTTAGTTACATCTGTGTGCCTAGGTACACTCATGAAAAAAAGTCACTTACTTTATTCCAGTTCCAATTTCCACAATTCCAACAGTGAAAGTGTTGAAAAGTGCAACATCTTTACTTCCTTTAACTTCAAGAATATGTTCTTGACAATTGTGTGTTGGAACACAGTCCTGGTAATACTCCTGGAAAAAGCTGTATAATCCTGAACTGTGAAGTGTGATACCCTCTGAGTTGATAATGCGCAGACCCCACGCTGCAGAACAACCAGTGATCTTACACTTCTCAAAAGATGGATCACCAGGAAATTCCTTGGTAAAGGAAAATGGTAAAGGTGCTATAGGAACTGGCTGGTAATATGGAGTCTCTGTTTGAATATGGCCGAGATATATCTAGAAAACATTCAATTAGTACAATGCATGACTTTATGATACTTGTACTTATCTGGCCGCTCACATCTTTTGCTCCATATACTTGATATTGATACATAACAGTGTGTTCAGAGCCAGTACCATAGAACCAGGAGGGCCCCTCAGACTCTATCAGTGTTCCACGAGCAGCGTATAGACTAATTTGATTCGCAATCTTATCAGGGGAATCGTAGACACTCTTGTCATTGTCACTGATCAGATTCTGAAATTAACCCTCTATCTATAGTGTTCATAAGAATTCAACAACATCAATAAAAGGTTTAACTTACTGATCTGCAAGCCATATCCAAATATTCTCAAAATACCCTGAGGCTTGGGGAGTGATGTGGAACAAGAGTGAAGCACAAATACAAGCGTCACTAAACTCAAACTTTGGGCAAGTCTGTATATCTAGATCTGTACCAGAAGCTCCTCCCACACGAATATGTGAGTCCCACATAGCAGCTGTTCATGTCTGAAGTTAGAAAATGGCATTTGCGCTAAAGAGTTGTAGTTCACATAAAGGTGTGACTTACCGGACCCTTGACTGTCCTCATGCACGTTCCACTCAACAAGTATGGCGCCAGCTGTAGCTCCTTGAGCAGTGAACATCATATCAACTATCTCCATGTCACCTACATCACCTTTCTCACCAACTTGCACTACCACACGTGGATTATGAATATCATTGAAGTAGAACCCAGCTCCTTGTATCTGTGACCAACTCGCACCTTGCACTCTGGAGCCTGTTGGAATGAATACAGTGCCACCAACTCTGTAGACACCTGCTGGAAAGTATGCAATTTTGTGTTCCTTTTTGGCCTTCTCAAGAAAAGCATTAATGTCTCCTGTATTATCCCCAGTTCCATCATTCTTGCAGTCATGTTCAGTAGCAATCAAAAATTCGTCTACCTTGAGGTCCTTGTATTGAGGGCGAGGTCGATAGAAGAGCTTGCCATCTTCATCCAGCAGGCGCTTTCCTTTTTTAGGTGCATCAACTTCACCTGAAATATAAGTTCCATTGTATCCATCATAGCGACGTCCCATTGCCCAGAGGCTGACATGATTAGTGCCATCAAGAATGACATCACCATTCTCACTCTTAACTGTTGTTCCAACATCATTCATCTTCAAATTGTCAATGACAATGTTAGGGGGCCCATTGATCCCATCTTTCTGAGAGTTGGTCAAGATAGCAATTGGGCAATTGGATATCACCGAATCTGCTTAAGTCAGCTCAGGTTTAAATGTACATATACATTGCTGTGTATTTTAAACATACCAATGATAGAAACCGAGCCTACACCCTGGCCAGTGTCACCACCCCTGCCACTAATATTGAAGGCAATGGCTCCACCATCAACCTCAATACGTTGCCAATTGAATCCCCAGTCCCAAATCATTTGAACTGCAGTGAGGCAGCCATTGAATTTGAGATTCATTGCTGTATACTGCTGGGAGCCTGTCACAAGAGCCATATTAGCAGCGACACAGTTAAATAACTAATCTAGAAGCTCAGAAGGTAATTTACTTACCAGCACGCCAGCCAATATTTCCCCCATTGAATACCAAGTCAGAGACAAATCCCCCACTACCATTTTCCATGAAAATGCCAACATGAGTGACTTTGTTACTGTCAGTTGCTTTAGGCATGTTGAAGACCAAATTTTGCAATGAGCAAGCCTGAGAAACCTGCCAATGGATACCTGTTGGTACAAGCAGCTGATCATGGTCAGCTGTTGAGAGAGGCATCTCAGTTAGATCAAAAATAAAATTCCGAATTTGACGGAAGAACTGATTCTGGTTGATGTACCAATTTTGACCATTACCATTAGGAATATATGGATCTGTATCAAAAAGGGCAATGCCTTGAAAGGTATCACACCCTTTGATTGTAGGCGGGTCCAAAGCATCACCAATGAACTGAGTATAGTATAGCTGAATGATAGGGCGGCAGATTTTATATGTTCCTGGCTAGAATAATAGCAAAGATTAATTTAAGACTAATAGATATGTACAGAAGAGAAACCCACTTACAGGAAAATAGATGATAGCACCTTTTGTGAATGTATTTCCACATTCCAATCCGCATCGGTCACCATCTCCAATTGCTGCATTTATTGCCTCTGTTGCATCTTTCTCACCTGTATTATCAGCACCATACTCCACAACATCTCGGTAAAACTTGTAATCAGCTCCAGCAAGGGGTTGCTATAGAACTAGATTAGCTCAGCAGAACAGCTCAGTGGAAAGAAAGCACTTACAACTCCCAAATGAGCAAGCTTCGGCAACCAGTAGCTACTATCAGCAGTAGTGTTTGGAGCACTTCCAGCAACTTTGTTTAAGTTCTCGGAAGCATCAACAGAGGTGCGATTAAGTTGTTTTAAGTGTTGTGATATGTAGGCCTCCAAACTACCAGACTCAAGCCATACTGGGCCATTTTGTGCTCCTAGTACAAGGGTTAATGTCATATTCAGAAGGGTACGCGTTGATCAATAGTCAGTGGGCCGGTGCTCACCTTTGTCTGGTGCAGTTTTGAAGTAGTTGTGTTGGTTGTCCACCATGTATGGAGGGTTGGGCTACCAGTTGTTGTCAGCCAGACTGCCTGGTCAAACAGCAAGTAGTAAAGTCTTTCTATTACCTGTGGTCCATAACTTGGAATGTTTGGGAATTTTGCAGGATCATATAACAAGTTAGTCTGTCCCATCACAAGGGACAGAAATCCAAGAAACAATGCCAAAGAATTCATATTCTATGGGTTGAACAAAGCTCTCTTTGATTAGCAAACAACTTACTGCCTCCCATCTGGAATGTGGGCAATCCAATTCTTATCTTCACTGCTTCATTTTTCATCGGTGTAAACCCCGCTTTGGCCACAACGGTATATTCCATTGAAAATCGTGAATCCTTGACCTCAATTTCCGAATAGTCATGGCAAGGTCCCTGTACGTTACAATAGCCGGCCGAGGTGATCCCTGGACTGGGGATACTCGGATATTAGTATCATCTCGAAACATTTCGATGGCGGAGACATGAACGATGAGGTTGCAGAGAGTAGCTGGGTATCTGACAAGCGAAGGATCAGGAAGGCTAACAATATCGACTATGAAGAAGGTTTGCTGATGAAGCCATTACTGCGACCTCGGGAAAGCCATTTGCAAAATCCATCTATGGAGCAATTCTATCAGTGCTGATGCCTTTTCCTCTCTCGCAGCATGTATTCACTGAATCATTGAAACTACTACAGCGTAATCACAAGGTATCTCAGAAGCAGCAGATATTCGGGATGACTCAGAAGCTGTGTCCAACAAATTGGCAGGGGATAAAAAAGAACGAAGACTGGGTTACAGTTGAATGTGGTTTATTCAACCATGAACATGGTTTTAAAAAAGTGGGTCTTATAAATAAACCATGCTCAATTTTCCACACTAGTAATAAACAATGACAGCAAGAACTAGATGAAATGATCTCAACCAGCATCAGAAATATGCTTGAAACACCTCTAATTCATTGTAAGCAGCGGTGCGGGAACTAGCTGCTTTTATCACAAGAGGTTCTTAAGACTCTACAAGAATTAAGCTATAGAACATAATACAGTGATATATCAGAAAGAATTTGAATCAAGTACTGTAGATAATTGATTAAAAAGATTCTATCTCTGTAATTAATAAATATCAATAGTAGATGAGAATATTGAGCAGATGAAAGATGTGAATAAAAAAAGAGAAAATATAAAAAAGAGAAAAAATGATTTATAATTATATATTTCTTATGATAAAGAGTTTACAGTTGTTATTTGATCATCACTTTCTTTAATACTTTATTATATAAGTATAATTTTTCTTTGTTTTTAAATCTGATTCTATGTCTTTTTTCATATATGATTTTTATAATTTTAAACTTGCATTTTATTAATTTTTTTATGTCTCTACTCTGCTATTCTATCTTTTATTATTTTTTTATAACTAATTTTCAAATTCTGATATTAAGTGAAAATTGCTATTTTGATTTTATCATCAAATCTAAGTATAAATACTACTCTTTTTTTTACTGAATTATATTTCTCAGATCTGCAGTAAATATCAGTTTTCTATTATTTAATTATTCAGCAATATTTTTTTTTCTATTCTTTTATTTTAAATACAACTTTAATCTTTCTTCTATCTGTAAAGATGTTGAATTTATTGAGTTATTATACTCTGATCTCAATATCTATCAACTGATTTATTTTTATAATATAGTAATTTTGATTTATTATTCTTCTGTGGTATATATCACCCTCTATTATCAAGAATGGTGTACACTACTGTACTAGTAATTATTTCATATAAGAAGAGCTGACAAGCTTAGAAGTTTGCAAAAGCTCAAGCAATTTTTGAATTATATCTAATAGTATATCTAAATCAAAGAGAGTATATACTTCTGAAGATATGATAATTCTATCTACAATATATATTATAGTTATTATATTAGTGTGATTATTTTTATACTCTATTATACAAATAAACAGTGAGTTCAGAATACTTTCAATTGTAATATCAGTAGCAGATAATTTATCATTATATAAAATAAATTGAAAGTGTAAAAAGACAGTGTAGAGATGAACAACAGTTCAAAGAACTACTTTATTTATAAGCTTAAAAAGAAAATATCAGTCAGTTATACAATCAAAAAAATATCAATAAAAAATTATTACAGAAAAAACAATATTCTTAAGATATAGAGAAAAGTATATATATAATCAATGATAATTATTATAAATATTTTTAATCAACACTCATTTCTTATATCTGAATCACAGAAAATACAACTAATTTTCAAAGATCTATATAAAGTAGTATATAAAGTAACAGCTCTTATATTCAAGAATAATAAACTTCTTATTTATAATATTTTATTAAAAGAGATTCTAGTAATGTATAATCTTTATTAGACAGAGTTTAAAATATAAAAGAAATATCAGTATATAGAAACTACTCAGTAATAAATAATAGATACTATAAATTTTATAGATAATTTAATAAATATTAAGAATAAATAAGACACTCAAATGACTGATCTTCATCAAAAACTGAAATATATATATTATAAGATTAAATACTCAGTAATTTTCAAGATTTTACTATATAATTTAACTAATTTACTGAATATTAATACTTCAGTAAATGACTCTAACTTAGTATATATAATATAAACAGTATTTTCAGAGAATATATCACTTATCACAGAATATATTAAATCAGACAATCTATCTAATTTATTATACTTTAATAATAAATATAAAAATAATACTACTTTCAACTGATTAGAATATATATAATTATATTATTATATAAAGTATAAGCTTACAGAACAACAATTCACTGAGTTATAATAGATTTTATATATAATATCTATTTTTAAAAAAAGAGCTAAATCTCTGTAAATAATAGCTGAAAAGATGAATATAGAAATATCTGATAAATATAGACTGCTGTAGATATAGAACAATTTCATACAATAAATTCTATATAACTTTGAAAAATTGAATACTAAAGATAAGTATTACAAACACTTTATAAGATACATATAAAAAAAGAATCTTATATTATATTATATTTATTTCAGCTTATATTATCTTATAATAAATCAGAAGCTCTTAATATCTTTCTATTTATAGATATTTATATTAAATAAAAATATTTTAATTTATAATCACAGACAATAAAGTAAGTATATAAAATTCTATTTATAAAAGAATAAATAGATAAATTGTAAAAATAAGTAGAGAGAATATTAATAAATATAAAAAGATTTACATCTACATTCACAGCATCACTACTGAGATACTCAGATATAATAAATATTAATCTCAATACTATTATAAAAGTTTTAAAATTTTTTAAAAAGAATTTATCAGAGTAAATAATATAATATTATAAGTATAGAGTATACTTTTACTGTGACTGATAAAATTATAATATAAGAGATTATCAAAGTTATCTATAGAATAAAAAATTAA